GAGGCTCCAGGCTCTGAGCCATCAGCCCAGAGCCCGACGCGGGGCTCGAACTCACAGACTGCGAGATCGTGACCTGGCTGAAGTCGGACGCTTAACCGACTGCGCCACCCAGGCGCCCCTCTCTAGCCCTTCTTGAGTCAGTGTCTCACAGAGCCGCTTCCTTCTTGTCTGGATATGTAGCAAGGAAGTTGCCAGAATTCGGGCAAACCCGTTTCCAGATATAAATACCAAAGTGCATTCCTTTGCCCAAGATAAGCCCTTTGGTTTATTTCTCTTTTGTGTTACTAACACCTTAATTATTATTATGGTTACAAACGCTATCTGTATAGCTGTTTTAAAAGGGCTGGATTAAGAAACTGGGTGCTTATCTTCCAAGTACCAAAGCCAGGGGCAATTCCACTCTCCCCTCCCCCCAATAATTTCAGTGAAACATTGAGGTCATTTTGATTTATTCTCGGAAAAATCTAAAAATGAACACTTACTCCTAGATCTTTCCGCCGAAGCCCATCTCAAGCACAAAAGGAGTTTTGTGGCTACCGAATAGAAATAAAACGGAGCTTGAGAAAAACTTCACACATTGTGGGGAGCCAGTTGGTACTTAAGGAAGATAAAAGGAGAGAAGCCCAAGAAATGATGGCACTTTAAGATCTCTTTATATATATAGGACTTCAAAAGACATTTTTCTTAAAGTGGAGAAAGTCTCTATTTAGAGGTTTTTAGGGCAGAGAAAAATTATGGGCAATTTTGGGAAAAGGAAACGGGTAAAAAGGCAAGATTGACAAGAAAAAACTGGCAGGAAAAAAAAATCGGCTTTTAAACCATTATTGGCCGTTCAAAACAGGCCAGCGAACCCATACAGTGCTGTTGAGGCGCATGGGTGAAATGTGGGTAAAATGTCAGAATAAAGTCAGTTGGGACCTCTCGCTGAGAACCAACTTCAGGACAAGTTAATAAACTCAGGCCATCTTGTCTAAAAGGGTTGAGAGAAGCACTCATGAGAGAGACGTGTCCAGAAGGCCTGGAGAAAGACAAGCCCCATGCAGCTTCCTCACCGACCTTCCTTTCTTTTGCTCTGTAGCATCTTTGATGTCGTTGCCGAACCCAGGTAAACGGAACATTGATTTCGTCGTACGTTCACTTACTCATTTGAGAAATGTTTACTGAGCAGCTACTACAGGCAAGGCACTGCCGAGTGATCTGTGTGACCCGGTGGGGGGCAGAAGGCACTAGATTGTAGGACTCCTGTCCCCACTCTGCACTCCTTACCTCTCCTAACCTGGACTATTCAGCAAATATTTAGGATACAGGTGTATTTTGTGCCAGGCACTGGGAAACTATAGAACCAGTCATTCCCCTTTGTAGTCGGGGGAGCAGTTAGACAGGGGGTGAGCCCTAAGGAAGCCCTATTAGGATCCCCAAGACAATGTGGCAGGAAAAGGCTAAAATATGGTAATAGCGTTAAAGTGAGGTCATGCACAGGGAGTCGCCGAAGTCTGCATCACAACAAAGGGTCTGGGGAGGCCGGAAGTGGGCACCATTGTCCTTTGGTTACGGGGTGGAGTGGGTATATTTTCTCTTTCAGATCAGGAACCACCGACACGCGCCCTCAACATCTTAGGATCAGTGTCCAAACTGACGTGCAGGCTGGGCTGCTTATACCCTGCTGGTCACATGGGAGATTCCTGCTCTGTAACCATCCCGAAGGCAGAGCCCAAGGGGGTTTCACTGAGACAAGGCACACATCACTAGTCTCACAGGTGACAATGAACAACACTGACAGGCTGGCAGTGACAAGCTTCCCTGAAACTTGCCTTGGCTCCGTGGTTACAAAGCAGCGCTATTAGAACATTATTATGTCTTGAACAGAGGTCAATGCTGTGCAGGCACATCTCTCACTTTAGCAACTCATCCAGGCCCACAGGAATTAACCCTGGAGCCCCTCGGATCCGTTCTCTATGCTGCATCCAGTGAGTTTTAAGAAAATATAATAAAACCTAGTCTGAAGAAAACAGAAAATAACAATGCTGGCGAGGATGTGGAGAAATTACAACCCTGGTGCACTGTTGGTGGGAACGCAAAATAGTGTGACCACTTGGGGAGACAGTCTGGGGGCTCTCAAAAAATTCTGAATAGATCCAGCCATTCCGTTTCTGCTGTTACCAGAAGACAGGAGGCCTGGATGTCGGCAAAGTCCACAAGTCCACACATACTGCTAGGACAGTGGCTGGTCCAAACTAGGTTTTCTATCATTTTAATTTTTCTTCTTTTTCTTCTTTCCCTGCCCTGGTTTCCTTCCCTTCTCCTGACTCCAACCTTTCACGTACATCTTTGCGAAATAAACCTTCCTCCGCCACCTGGTCCACAAAGACTAGTTACCACAATGTCTCCCATAACCTGAAGCCCTGTAGGAAAGTTCCATGTCAACCACGGCACCTTGAATCCTGAGGGCCGACTGTTTCTCCCTGACTCCAGGCCACACCCACCTCCCCTTTCAAACACATCACTAATATGAGCCCGGCTTGGATGGTAATGGCCGGCCGGCGTGTCAGGTGAATTTGCACCCTTCTTCAGCCCCACATACCTAGACCATCCTCTCCCTTCTTTGTAGGTCCAACTTTTCCCCTCGATATCAACAATAATGCCAAATTCGTGGTATTATTTTTTGTCTACCCTGTCTTCCCTTCCTCCTATCTCTGTCCCTACTCACCAGGACTTTACTCTCGCTGCAACTTTTTTTTTTTTTTTTAGGTTTCTTCCTCATTATTAATATTCTTTGCAATCATATGGTCCAAAATTCAAAAGGTATCAAAAGATACATGTAGCAAAAGTTACTCCCATCTGTCTCAAGTTTCCTAGTCCCTTAACAGAGGTGACTACTGTTACTAATTTGTAAATTCTTACAGAGATATTATCTGTATTCATGAGCATGTACATGTGTAGATTCTTCTCCTCTTTCCTTTACTTTTTTTTTCTTTTTTTAACGAAATAGTAGTATGCCATGCACACGGCTATGTGCCGTGCTCTGGCTTTATTGTATTTAAAGACTATTTTGGAGAACGTGCATATCAGTACATTAGAGCTTGCTCATTCTTGTTATGGGGTCTTAGCATTGCATTTTATGGATGTATCATAATTTACGTAACCAGTCCCCTCTTGCTGGATGCCATAACACTGAATGTCTGTGTACCTCCCCTAAACTCACATGTTAAATCCTCCTGCTCATGTGATGGTATCGGGAGGTGGTTAGGTCATGAGGGTGAAGCCCTTATGAATGGCTTCAGTGCCCTTATAAAAGAGGTCCCAGAGAGATGCCTCACCTCTCCCTCTATCCCTCTCCCCTGTTCTCTCTCTCTAAAAAATAAAATCAAATAAATACATAAAGAGAAAGAAACCTTAAAAAGGTGATAGCTGGAGTAAAGTCCTGGTGAGTGGGGACAGAGAGAGAAGAAAAGGACGACAGAAAAGCAACTGTTACATGAATTTGGTATTATTGTTGATATCCAGGAGGGAAAGTTGTTTATTTTATTTTTATTTTTTTTTTAAAGAGAGTGCAAGCTGGGGAGGGGCAGAGAGAGGGGGACAGAGGATCTGAAGCAGGCTCTTCACTGACAGGCTGACAGCAGCGAGCCCGACCACGGGCTTGAACCCACAAACCGTGAGATCTTGACCTGAGTCAGACGCTCTACGGACTGAGCCACCCAGGCCCCCGGGGAAAGTTGTTTATCTAACCTAAGTGTCTGGCAAAACGGACCTGGCTGAGTGCACCTCGTGTACTTAATGTACGTTTCAGGATACAGCCCTGAAATGGAAGATCACGTAGCCATCAAAAACTCAGTTTTCAGGGGTGCCTGGGTGGCTCAGTCTGTTGAGCGCTGACTTCGGCTCAGGTCACGATCTCACAGTTTTTGGATCTGAGCCCCGTGTCGGGCTCCGTGCTGACAGCTCAGAGCCTGGAGCCTGCTTCAGATTCTGTGTCTCCCTCTCTCTCTGCCCCTCCCCTGCTCCCACTCTGTCTCTCTCAAAAATAAACAAAAACATTAAAAAAATGAAAATAAATAGGGGCGCCTGGGTGGCTCAGATGGTTAAACGCCCAACTTCGGCTCAGGTCACGATCTCACAGTTTGTGAGTTCGAGCCCCACATTGAGCTCTGTGCTGACAGCTTAGAGCCTGGAGCCTGTTTCAGATTCTGTGTCTCCCTCTCTCTCTCTGCCCTCCCCCACTCATGCTCTGTCTCTGTCTCTCTCTCTCTCTCTCAATAATAAATAAACACTAAAAAAATTTTTTTTTAAACTGCAGTTTTCAAAACAATTGACAGCTTCAGTTTATCAGCTAGGATTGGTTGCTTGTAAGCAACAGAAACTGTCTTTGGCCTACTTAAGCAAAAGGGGACTTGTGGAAAGATATTGGGGGCTGAGGCCACCCAAAAGCAAAGTGAGGCTGGAGGCCCCGGTGGCAAGTGGGCAGGAAAAAGGTGGTTCCAGATTCATGGGCAGCAGGGACCTCTCCGCCCATTAATCTGGTAACAGGAACTGCTCCTGAGAGCACTGAAGTGGCAAAAGGAATGAGCCATGAGAATTCCCTCCCCACTTGCCTCATGCGTCCGTGGGGTGCCTCCAGCCTGCACCCAAAGACACCATATTGCTATTAGTACTTGTCTTTGGAAGGTGGATTATGGGTGTTTTATCTTCTTTCTACTTTTCCGCATTTTCTACTTTTTTTCTAATATGCCAAATCCCTATTTATTTTAAAAATACCTGTGTGAAAAGTTTAAGTGCACTGCTTCTGGGGGAAAGCACAACTTAGAACTGGCACTAGGTTAACACCACCGGGAGGCTCTTTGGAAAGAACCCTCCCTTCTTCTTCCTCAGATTCCTCGTCCTCAGGCAACCAAAGACTTCACCTTTTCCTCCACTGACTTGCCCCTTTCTCCCTAGCAAAGCCCGCTCTCAAAAAAAGGAGATGATGTCGGTTACCCTCCGGAAATGCAATAGGACTAATACTTACGATAACAAGAAAACCAGCTAGTAGTTACTGCCAAGGACTGAATTGTGTGTCCTCCCCACTCCCTGCAATTCATATGTTGAAACCCCAACCCCTCAAGTGACTGGATGGGGTCTTAATCTGACAGCATTGGTGGCCTTGTAAGAAAAGGAAGTGAGATCTCTCCCTTTCTCTCTCCCCTCCTCTCCCCATCTCCTTTCTTCTCCTCCTTTTCCCCTCCCCTGCCCTCCATCCCTCCTTTTCTCTCTCTCTCTCTCTCTCTCTCTCTCTCTTTCTCTCTCTCCTCACACACACCCAGAGAAATGGCCCTGAGTGGTCCTGTGCAAGCCAGGAGGACGGCTCTCACCAGAATCCAGCCCTACCTGCAGCCCGATCTCAGACTTCCAGCCTCCAGACCTGTGCGAAGGTAAATTTCTATTGTCTAAGTTCCCCATTGTATGCTTTTTATTTATGGCAGCCCAAGCAGACTGTATATGCTTCCTCTATTCTCAGTGTCTTACGTGTATTAACTTATGCAGTCTCATAAACACCCTAGGAAGTAAGCACTATTATTATCGTCCCGTTCTTCACAAACGAGGAAGATTGAAGCCCAGAGATACTACAGAACTCACCTCAAGTCAACACAGCCAATCCGTGCTGACACAGGCCTGGAGACCTGAAGCCATAAGGGCTGGCGTATCTGTGCCTACGTGCACTGAGCATACGCTTTCTGCATTTATGTGTTTTACCTTAATTTTTCCAAGCTTCTGTTTGCTCAAGTGGTGGCGTATGTGACTGGTGAGGTCTGGGTTTCCTTGAGCTTTACGCTGTGGGCTCCTCCACCATAAAGAAGGATTCCGTTTTCAGAAGGAAGGGGAAGGGGGTGCAGGGCAGTCAGATGTGTCCAGATGTCTGTTGCCCACACCAGTCTGGTTTCAGCAAGCGTCAAGGTGAACAGACTGCAACGGAGACGTGCCCTTTGTCTTGTCCGAATTTGTGTTAGAGGAGTCTCGGCCGTGTTTTTCATTTTCAAAACTTTTTAAATGTGTATTTACTTTTGAGGGAGAGAGAGCGAGTGGGGCAGGGGTGGAGAAGGTGGGGGAGAGAGAATCCGAAGCAGGCTCCGTGCCGACAGCAGCAACCCCGATGGGCTTGAACCCACAAACCGTGAGATCACGACCTGAGCCAAAGTCAGCTGCTCAACCAACGGAGCCACCTAGGCGCCTCTCATTTTCAATTCTTAAAAATTGTGGTAAAATACACGTAACAGACTTTGCTACTTTTACCATTTTTTAAAAATATTTATTTACTTTTGAGAGAGAGAGAGCGCACAGATGGGGGAGGGACAGAAAGAGGCACAGAATCCGAAGCAGGCTGCAGGCTCTGAGCTGTCAGCGCTTAGCCGGACACGGGGCTTGAACCCAGGAACTGTGAGATCATGACCTGAACCAAAGTCCGCCCAGTGCCCCAAACCATTTTTTTTAACGTTTATTTA